ATCAGGAATGCATTGATTTATTTTCCATTTATGTGCTTTTAATCTGCATCAGTTATTTCAATGGAACATATATTGCAATCACACTTTCCTGGTTGTTGTTCTACTGGGGTGCGTAATAAATGTTGTGAAATATTGTGCAAGAGAAAGAACAACACTTTGAATTAAATGTGCTGTTAAATTAAAGTCTGTTCTTGAGCACTGAAAAAGTCCTGAGACTTTTCATTTCAGTGACATAAGGTAAGGCATACACTGAGGGTTTTTTTATTTTTCACCCTTTTGAGAAACATAGCATGGTACTGAAGTAAAAGCAAATAACAATTTCTAACATTGCAAAAGTTTGAAGATACCTGTCACAAAAAAAAAAAAAACAACCCAACCAAACATGACCCTCTTCCTGCTGCCCCACAAAATTCATGGGGTCCAGTATTTAAAAATGTCACAATTGTTTTGTGAGACCATTATGGGAAATCGGGTGGCAATATCTCAAACCTTGCCAAATTTTCCCAGAAAGAAACATTCTGAATTGTTCAAAGAGCTTAATGTGCATTTTTAAATGAATGCCACTGTATAATTTCCTAAAGGATGGGATCCAATTCTATTTTGTGCTCTGAAGAATTCTATTAAACCTCTAGAGCACTTTGTGAAATGCGAAAATGCAGTTTGCTAAAGAGATAGCCTAGGTGGTCTGCAGTAAATTAACCAGTACTGCTGACTGTGGCCGTTCTGAGTTTGCTCCAGGGGATTTCTACACTTACAGTATAACACCATCTACCAGCTTCTAAACTAGATTTGCCCTCTGGCTGCAAGTCAGCGGACCTTGGTGTAAAACATGGCCAGAAATTAGTTTGACTAAGAGTTGCATTTCAAGTCCAGAACAGTGCTGCGTGTTACGTGCAACTAAGTCCAAACCATTACTTACAATGCTGTTGTTTTCCCTAGTGGACTTTATGTAGTTAAGTTTTAGGTTGCTAGACTACCACTGCTGCTGCCCTGCCTAGCTGGTGTTCCATGTTCAGTAAATTACAATAGGTTTCTCTCTGTGTTGCTTTGTAACAATTAACCTCAGAAAGAAGCTAACTCCATTTGCATGGTAATGAGACATTCATCTGAGCGACATCAGAGTTAAGCATGCTAATAAGTTTTTATGCAAACACCTGAGGGGTCAAGCACAACCTTGGACTTGGATAAGAAAACCTTTTATTAAATGCAAATCACTTTTCTTGTAAATACTATGACAGAGAACTTCGTAGGACTCTAACACAGCTTGCAAGAATGGAGTGGTTTAGGTTATATTTTCAGGCCCTCAGGCTGACTAAAGAATGTAGCCACTGATTTATTTATATTTTGAATTAATATCCGTGTGGATAAAATCTTCATTATAGCATCAAAGGAGAGAAGTACTACAGGAAGGTAGAGAGGAGAAAACAACAATATTGTCTTATCTTTCACAAATTTGTCACAGTTTCTGGGGATGCAGGAAGGCAGATAAGACACTGCTGCTGTACAGCACAAAAGACTTACAAATTTGTCAGGTTTCCATCTCATTCACCTATCTGGTTTTGCCAAGTGTAGTGTTATGTAGGCAGGTTTCCTAGTGAGCAGGCTATCACTTTGGTCTGCCTTGTACTAAAACTTCTTGAATTCATTAAATCGATTCACATTCTACGCTCAAAGAGCTCGAGATCTTGGTTAGGACAACAAGTACCAAACATTACCAAGGGGATAATTGACTGCCAGACATCTTTGGTACTAAAGGAGCAGAACCTTCTCAAGGGCACGGCAGATTGCACAAGGAGGAATGAAGCGAAGAAGCTGACTTTGATTCATTTAACTCTGGCAAAGCCAAGTGCAGGAGGCTTCTCTTGTTGGCGGGAGGAGCTGTTAGCAGGACACACTGACTCACTTTGGCAGCGCAGCCAGTGTCAGGGGAGCAGCTCTGGTTGGTGATAACTGGGGTGAAACATGGGCAGCCCTCTGAAAAGCTGGCCTAGTGGCAAGTCGGTAGGGGTTTTGCTCCAGGACTAGAACATGTGAATTTAAATATCCAGTGGGTGTAGTGGGAGTTGCTCTATCTTTATGACATAAGTTTATAGACAGGACTGTATATTATGGTTATCTGCAGTAAGAGGAGACTATACTGTTGAGATACAGAAAGTCCCTCTCGTTTCCATTGCTGTACGATGAGCTACTTTTTGGAAATGCTTGAGTGATGTATAATATTACTACACGGAGCCCAAATTTTAATTCAAGGGAGTAAGCGTGCACAATATAAAATGGGTCAGATTGACACTTGGCACAGAGCTACGTCAGTTCATTTAAACCAGATGAACTACGCTCATCTTGCCATACGCATTGAACAACAGTGACCCAGCAACTGTATGCTTCTCAAAGATCCCTTTCACTGCTTAAGTTACTGCTACCTCCAATAGAATTGTTAAGTATTTTCATTTTGATGCTGCCCTATTTATGATATGCAAAGCATGCTAGTATGCCACAGCCTAAAATTCAAGGTAGTAGATTGCAGAAAAACCATACAAAGAGGGAAAGCTTTGTAGAAGAAAGTACAAAGCTATGGATAACTGGATCCTCAAAACATACCTTGACTGAAATCTAGCACTCCACTTCCTTCAAAAATAAACAAAAGCTCTTGGTGATCAGTTCCGAATTGTCATATTCACTGATAGGTAATAATTGCATCAAATGCATCACATGTATGTCTTCAAGTGCATCAAACAGCATGAGACATCAACTTGGTGAGTCTGGGATTCAGGGTGTTAGGAAACATTTAATTCAACAACTATTAGCTATACTAGTCCAAAATAAAAAATAAAATAAAATAAAAAAAAAAAAAAACCAAACCCAAACAGATCTGATGTAAGCTCAGTAGGATAAATTTTAACAATTATTTTGTAGTCAGGACAGCCTGGGCTCCTTTCACTGTCCAAAGATTGTAAACTACAGCTACTTACTTAGAAAGAATTCAGATGAAATTGGAGTTTATGGGGAGTAAGACAGGTTTAGAGCTAGGCAGCCACGAGGGCTAAGACTTAGAGGGGAATTTGTTACAGAGAGTGAGAAAGGAAAAATCATGCATATTCAGTGGTCATAGTTCACACTAATCTGCATGGACCATAAATACAGTGGCATTTTGCAAATGCAGGTCAAAATACATAAAATATTATTATAACTCATATAAGAGTCATAAACATATATGACAAACACTGTCACTTCAATCACTATCTGCTATGAACCTCAAATCTTCTTCCAAAACATGACCTGGAGCTTTCCGAGGGCAAGGGGAGGAAGTCATTCAAAATCTACGGAGGGAACCAGAAAAATGTGGAAGCAACACACTAACCAAAAGAAAGAGGGAAAGGTGACATGCAGAGCATATGAGTTTCTAGGTGAGAAGCAGAAAAAGTGAAAAACTGGAAGACTCAGAGTGTATTGAAAGTGAAATTTGTCTTATAGCTGAGAAGCAATGGCTGAACCATAGAGCAAAATCCTTCAGAAAATAGCTTTCATTGAGAAAAGTTCTACACTTTTAATAGGCAGTCTATCAAATGAAGTCAGATTTCTTGTAATACCACTAAGAGAATAGTAATTAAGGGGTGTATATACAATAGATACTCGGCTTTTGAGGAAGAAAAGCTTACTTCTGGAGCCAAAAAAGGGTTTTAGCCTATTTCTTAAACTATATGACAAAAACACAACTAAGAGAAATTATAAGATGGCAGAGCAGCACAAACGTAGAGTTTCTAGCCTTATACTTAAGGGTTAAAATAGCATACTAATAGACTAGATTCCCAAAAATATAAGCCTAGACCCAAGCTGATGACATTTAGGCGCCTACAGTTAACGAGGCTGTCTATCCAAAACTCCTGCGTCACTGCTCAGATCTCTAAGTCACAGGAAGCTACCAAGAACCAGTATCCAAACATGTATGCACTCCTTAGCGTACTGTCAGGTTTTAAAACCTCAACTTACCATTCAAATCTCAATGTAGTATTTCCTTTCCATTCCAAGTTGGTAAAAAACAAAACAAATCACATAGAACTGCTGAATTCATACCCTCACGTATCAAATTCTCGTGAGAAAAAGGCCCCCTGAATATATTGCTAGAGGAAAAATACTACCAATTATGTCCCTGTATCCAGTGCTTCTCCACTGGATGCTTTGTTAAATATTTTCAGACAAAAACACCGAACAACATCTAGCTGTCTAAAATCTGCTGGCTGTCATCATGAGGAAACAGGCATAGCTTCAGTCTAAGACATCATGATTACTTTACTTGCTCTGTCATTTCTTTGTTGCATTTCTCCAATTCAACATTAGGAACTATCAGCTTGCTAAGAACTCAAACCAGACAAAGACAAAAACTAGAAAGGGGAGATATGGAGATCAGTCAGTTGAAAGCATTTTTTTGCCTTGTAAAAATAATCACCATCATGTTGTCACTGGAAGACGACTGGTCCTGTTGAAAATTCACAGTTGTATCACATTTTTAGTGAGTGTTCCAGGGAAAATGAAAACTTAACTCTAAGCAAACCGAAAACTAATGAAAATAGAAATACTGTCATACAGCTTTTTACTGTAAAGTGACCCCTGGAACACCACTGACCTTTGGTGGCTGTTTCCACTGACAACTGTTATATACATTTCCTTTCCAAGAATCTCCTTATTATTACACAAAAATTCTGACGCTCAGAAAAAGCTTAGGAAGAGAATAGTCTTTTACTTTGCCAGGAAAGATTACAATGCACGGGAAATGCACAGTATTGTTTCAAACAAATGTATTTCCCTCCAATTCCAGTTGCTTTTAAATATAACAATCTTTCCCTGGCTATATTGTCCTGACCTGATTTCATCGGTCTTAAGACTTAAATAATAAAAGACTTCAAGGCTCAAGCTTTTTTCTTTCAAGACCTCTTTTCACAGTTTTGAAGTCAAATACCATAATCTTAACCAGAAATTTGGGAAATTTATATTTTATTCCGTACCTCATTGTGATTCTTGCTTAGCCATTCCTTAATAGTGTTAAGGGCAATGACAGCAGCGGGCTCATTTGGAAAACCTAAAGATAGAAAAAATAAGAGATAAATAAAAAGCACACATTTTTCTATACATGTAAGAAAACAAAAATCTGGATTCCCTTTCCCCCCAGTTTTTTGCTTATTCTGGGATTACAAGTTGGTCAACTCCCTTCACAGATTTGTATAAAGGTTTTAGGTAACATCATTTACTTTTTTTCCCAGCTAAACAAATTTAAAATAGGGCCAGTGATATTTTATTGGATTTTTTTTTTTTTTTTTTTTTTTAATTCTAGTTAGGAAAGCTTCACTGCTTAAGAGAAGTAGAAACAATAGAGTGCTATACATGTGTCATACTAGGCAGGCAACAATATAACACATGTATCACAGTAACAAATACTAGGCTTATATTTCATGACATGCAAGAAAAATTCAGATGTTTCTTAAGGCATAAGGGCTTTCTTAAGGCTTTCTTTCTTTAATCCATCTGTCAGCAAAACTATACAACACTATGACCCCAATGCCATAGGCCTTATAAGGATAGAAATGTTTGAGCGAGAAATCTCTTAATTTATGACCTAAAACATAATGAACAACTTTGGAAATTAAGGAATTCTTGAAGAATAGGTGCATGAATTTAAGGCCTGATGTTGCATGATATACTAGCAATAGTAACTCCCCCTAGCACTAAACAATATCAGAAATCTTTCCAGGGATACAGACTTTTTACTTTGATGGCCTCTATCTTTCAAATCTAAAGAAGCTTTCATTACTTAGGCAGCCTTAATTTAATTTTCCTTTAAATTCCTAACTTGAGGGCAGCAAATCATTTTTGTGAGGATTTAAAAATAAAAACCCGTAAGCTGTATGAATAGCTCTCAGTAGGTTAGATTAATAGAACAGTCTTTGAAGAGGTGGAGCTGTGGGCACAGTGTACAAGCAAGCAACGGGGCTAGACAGAAACAGTCATGAAATTTGTCATACAGCTGCATTCATATAGCCTTTTTTAGATCATATATCATCCTCACACCGCAAACTGAAATGTAGACACTGTAAAAAATTAGTAGATTTGTCCATCTTTTTGACCTGGCACATTACCCTCCAAACTCATATCTCCTTTAACCCTTTTTCAGAATTTTTGCAGTGCTAGATTAGAAAAAATGAACAAAATCCCTCCACCCTGAGTCACATCCCCAAAACATTACTCCCTGTAACTGGACTCTGCAAGGATTTTGTCCAGCAGCATGTGTACTGTTTCAAAGTGATAGATGACAGCTATCCAGCAAGAGTAGCAAGTAAAATAGTCAATGTTTGGGTAATACTGACATTTAGCATGTGCTTCCTTTGCACACATTTCTCAATACATCATATTTTCAAATTTTTTGAAATCTTTTTTTCCAGGGCCAAGATAGAAAATTAGCTAAGAACCTACAAGTGTTACTGTAGATACTTCCACTGCTGCTGGGCAAATATATTCTTATGACATTTAATAATGCTGCTGATATCACCAAGGCATATTTCTTATGACACAAACTAATGAACACTAATGAAACCCAAAGCAGGGACTTCCAACAGCCTCATTTTCATCATATAAAATAACAGACCTCTAAGCAGACCGTCTGCTTGAATTAGTAATCTCCTGTCTAAAAACTGGGACTTTGTAACATAGAAATTTTGTACCCCAAGTGTGGTAGATCTGCCTGGACGTACAGTGAACCATATGCAGAGGGACAAATGCATATTTCAGGCAACCAATACACCACTGTTTATGCACTGAACGGTTTATTTTCAGAACAACTCTCCCTCCAGCAAGATTAACTTTTCAGGCTTGTTTTTCACTCCCTTGCAGCTGGGTATTTGCCCAAAACTGAGATAAAGCACTGGCGATTTTATAGAATCTCTCCATAAATTGTATATTATTTAGAAAACCGCTGCCATACTAACCAATCTTAAATAGAAGCTTATCTAGAAAACTGGTGTTCAGTTACTCCTAAGTAACCACAATGTAAAGGAAATAGTTCAGCAACCAACATAAAATGCCGTGAATTCTGTATATAATTTCAGAAGATATGTTGAAATCCACAGAAACCTTTTATGACAAGTTACCAAACGAACAAACAAAAAGAATCTAATTAGTATTTTACACACATTTCTGGTAGTTTTAAAGAAAAGATTACCTTATTGGCTTTATACAGAAGCAGGATGGAATTTATCCTCCTGTTCATATCCTGCATCAGCACAAAAGACCCTGTGTCTCTGATTCTTGAACGGAAAAACATTTTGTTTTATAGGACTGGGTAAACGGGAGATAAAGTGAGATGGGATCTTTTTAAACATGTTTTTGCGTTGTTTTTATCTCTAAGCTACATTTGCCTGCCATAACATTTCTGGTCTGCTCCCATACACACACACACCCATCCCCCTTCCCTACTTTCCTTTCAGCAAAAAAGCAATCTCAGTGCGCACGTGGGAATCAAATTACTTGAGAGAAATGAGCTCGAGGAGCCTCACAGTTAACCGACTGCTGGAGCAGCAGCTCAGGCAATTCTGGCTAAAGGCTCAATTTCACAAAAGATAAAACAGGTAAAGTAATAAGAGTGACACCGGCCCATGTTACTGCAGTGAGTGCTCCTCCAGAATACTGAAAAGGACAAGGGCACAAAAAGGCAAAGAAGCATTAGCCGTAAGGTACAGGCAAGCGGTGCCTCTATACGACTTCACTGGATGTGTTTGGCTGGAGAAAAAGGGAGAGTTGGCAGGTTGTGTGTCATGGCTAAGCGTGAGGTGAAGTGTGTACCGGCCCACGCACACAGGCCTCTAACTCGGACTGGGCTTCCTACATCCTTCAGTGGCAAAGCCAACATTTTGGCAACAAATGCCGCTATACCACAAAAACAGTGACGGCTGCTTTTGGTGCCTGAAGAGCTGCTTCAGCGAGTGGGACGTTTACTGCAGCTCTTTGCATTCTGCAGTGCCTGCTAATCACATCTCACCGTCTATTAGCAGGATCTACTCCCAACCCTTCAAGTACAGCAAATCCTAGAAGTGAGCAGCCGCCACCGCTTGTGCCCCTCTCAGCTCAGCAGCCCTCCTTTAGAGTACAGTTTTATTCATTACAGCTGATGCCACAGCGGGTGGAAGCCTGCAGAGTCGGTTGGAACGAGGGTGTGCAGAAAGTCCCGCATGGTTTGAAAGACGTGGTCGGTGAAGGAGAGATCCCCTGTGCATGCATGGTCAGGGCTGAGCTTTGCTCTGCTCGTTCAACACCACCAACTCTGGAAAGCACGTCAGTGCTGACCATCTCCACGTGCCTGTCCCTCCAGCCTTGTGGGAAAAGGCTGCATCACAGCTGTGTCTCCAGAAACACTTGTTACTCCAAAATCTTTGTCATTTGCTTGGAAAATGTTGCGAAAGCACTCACGTCTTTGTCCAGTTTTTCGCAGATAAAATGTCACTCCAGACAGGAGAGCTGCCTTTGTATATGCCTTTAGAAAAGTGACTGCCAGCTTTAACACTGACTTGGGTACCAGCATCAGCCAAGCCAAAGCTGAGCTTAGAAACTTCCCCTCCTCCTCTTTGCAGGTTGCTAATAGATGTAGATACCACTACATTCACTCCCCAAGATGAATGACTATGTCTTCATACTCCCCACGACAAAAACCCTATCCTACTAGCATCACGTAAAATACACCTCATCTGAACTCTACTGCTTTCAGTATGTCCTTGCACAGATATTACCCACAGTGACAGCCTATGAAAGCTTTAAAAGGTCTTCAAACTTATGAGCTTCTGCACCTCTTTCCAGGACTTTACCACTTCATTCCTGGAAATTGTAACACTGATCTGAGAAATGGCTGCTGAAACGAGCTGCACATAGTGCAAGTTTTTGCAGTCATCGTGGCCATAATTTTCCGAAGAAGGCACGATAAGATCTGCCAGAATTATTTTCAAATATTTGATATTAAATAAATGTGCTGTTTTAGAGGAGGAGACTATGGAGAACTGAGAAAGACAGTAACTGTAGACATACATGTTGAAGTTCCCCTTACATTTTGTATTTATTCCCTGGAAAGCAACTGGTAAGAACATAAGACCTCCTGTTTCATCAATGTATGGAAAATATGCGATGAATTCCCTGTTGCTAGACACTCTAAGTGTAAATGCTCAGACTTTTGTGCTTGGGAGATTTAGCAGAGAAACATTCACGCTATTGTGTCTGTTACTGTATGCCTAATTTGTCTGCGTAGTATCTGAAAAATGTATACTAGAAGTTCTTCAATGAATAACAGTGCAGCAAGGATTTTGCGAGATAAAATTGACAGAACTCTATTTAAGGGACTCCTATATTGTATGGAGATGCTGGTAGCTTCATCCGTCTTTCTTACTGTGCTCAATCCAATGTTGCATCTTATTAAAAATGTCTAACTTGTAATTAGGTAACGCCACCTCCCCATGAAACGCCCATTAACAAAACATAAGTACTAAATAATCAACCTTTAATATGATATGGGTGAAGATGATGATAACAGATTATATTAGTTAGATTATAGCACTAACAAGCAAATGTCAATCCAGAAAATCACTTCAGTAGCTGCAGGGGTGAGTATTATAATTTGTCAGTTTAACTGAGATGCCTAATGTTTTCTGTAAATCAACTCATTCTGGTAAAAAAAGGTCTGCTTTTTTTTTTTGTTGTTGTTGTTGTTAGACAGGTTTTTATTCATTTAAAATACGTTCCCTTCTCTATGGTTTCTGAAAGGCTCATCACAATCTTAATATTCTTATTTGCCAGTTTTAATGATTTCATTTTGAAGCAAATCATGAAAAGAACTAAATGCACATAAACACAAATACTCATTATGTGTTTCTTATACTTTCTCGGAAAAATATCTACACTGGCATGTTTGTGCATATATCAAGATGCAACATTTTGCAGACTGTTCCCGTGTTCTAAAATCAAACCCGAGTCCTGTTGTTTAATCGTCACGACTGTCAAAATATAATAACTTCCATTTATTTATTTTATATATTTGTCCGTGATGTG